TCCATTGCTTTGCTTCCTTGGTCCTTCCACTGTTTCCTTTTCCCTTCCTCCTGCCCCACTGTCTCTCTCCCCTTATTTCTGCCTCTTGGTATCTCCTCTTAGCCAGTTTGCTGTTGCTCTGACACACCCTCCCCACCCGACTCCTCCCTCGGATCCCTATCTCCTCCTTGTTATTGGCTCTAACACCCCAGGTTTTTCCCCTGCCTAGCCTATATAGGTAGGCACACCAACTGTGATATAGCCCAAACTGATTTTAAAACATGGAAATAATAAATAAATAAGAAAAAATTTTCAAAAAAAGAGAGAGAGAGAGAGAGAAGAAATATACAAAAATCCTGGGTCTGTTCACTGGCCTTCAAGACTGGCCAGGAGCTGCCCCTCCCGGCCTGAAATGCTCCCTTGGGGCTCCTCAGGGGCTTCGTGGCTCTGCCTTGTTCCAGCTGCTGGTCTGGTACGCTCCCTTTTTGGTTCACTCCGCTTTGCGGAGTTCAGAGGACACTGCCTCCCCACCAGGTCACCCCAGAAATGTCCTCTGCCACAGTCTGCTCCAGTAAAGGGACAGCGTGGCACGTGCTGTTGTCCGTCGTCCAGTCCCCTCTGTGTACTTGTATTTACTTTAGGTGCTTTGTCTAGGATGATTAGTTTTAATCTTAAATGCTAAAGTTCTTTAATTTCAACAACTGAAAATCCAATTTAACTAGTTAATGCCACAAGGAGCTATTTTGTCTATTCAGAGGATAACTCATGAGGGAGTAGAACTGGATTTCAAGTTGTCCGGTAGCAAGTTTTATAATCAGATATTGTTAGACTCACTATCAGAATATTGAAGGAAGCAAAAAGTTCTATAGAAAAATTAACTCGGTACAGAATTATGGATACAGATAAGAGACATTAAGTTTTCAGCAAAATGGTTAACCTTGAGTAAGTTAATATACCAGTTTTAACCCAGAGAATTAAGTTTACACTGAATAATAAAATCTCCCCAAACTAGCTCTCTTCTAAAAGCTTGCACATTCTCACCATCCCTTTATAACATTGAATAGCAGCTTTCAGATACTGGGCAACAACTGGTCCATGTGAGTTTTAAATATGGAATCCCACAGTTCATTGTTATCACCCCCATTTACTAAGAATATAAGATGAAGTACTGTCTTAAGTGGTGAAGTACTGTCATAAGTGGTTAGATTGATTATTTTTCAAAGCTTAGAAGAACATATGAGATAGGTATTATTTTCTCATTTTTATAGTGAGTAAAATGATGCATGAAATGATTAAGTAACTTGTCCAAGGTCATGTAAGTCATAAATTGCACACATGATTTTCAAACTCAAATCTCCTGCTTGTAAACCAACAATTCTCAATCATAGAGTTACACTGACTCATTTTTGAAATGAACTGAACTGCCCTTCTTCATCTTCTCAAATGTCTTTGAGCAGAACATACATCTTTATATATTGGATAATAGACTTTAAAACAGAACTATCAAAGAGAGAAAGATAAAAATGTAATGATTAAAATTTTGATGCACGACTAGAATTATTTTCATAAAATAGTGCATCAATAAATATGTGGCTACCTAATCAAATATGAACTTTTTATACTGGTATTTTTTACTTGCTGTAGTATTTGTTTTTAACATAAAAATGAGCTAATTTTATTAGCGATTGAGTGTTTTACCCACTAGGCCACCAAGGCTCCCTAAAATGAGTTAACTTTGAAGCAAGAATGAAGTAATGAGATAATATCTAGGTAGTGATTTCTATCTAGATAGTATTAAATTACTTCCTGACAGGACAGTCTTGCTCTACACTGCCCTTCCTAAAACAGTCTCGGTCCCCCACGTAGTGAGACTTGTTGTAACATGATAAGACAGATTTCCAGGTTCAGTGGGAAGTCATTCATAGACGCTTTCAGGTGATTCCACTCTTAACCAGTGTCTGAATTCTCATCTGGAAAAGAACATTCATATCCATTGTTCAGAAATTGTGTAAGGACTAAATAAGATAGTGAGAGTAAAATTACTAAACATGGCACTGAATATATGTAAGGCACCCAAGAAATGTAAATTAAATCTACATAAAATGAATCTGGGTATAATGATTCAGCCAGAGTTCTGAGATTTCATGATGAATGTTTTCTCACTAGTTTATTATATGCAAGACTCAACAATTAATTATTATAATCTGGAAATTCTTAGTCTACTCACTTTTTCTTTCATTAGGTCACTTTCCAAATACTTTGAGAGAAGCTCAAGTAGAGATTCTAAGCAATGATGTATGTAATAGTGTTTCTGTTTATGGCGGTGCCGTATCATCAGGAATGATATGTGCTGGATACTTGGCTGGAGGACAAGATGCCTGTGAGGTAAGAATAGATCAACTCCACACACAACAATGACTCCGTTGGGTACACATGCCTTAATGAACATAGTCCAATGTTATTTCACATGACTCCATGAAATTACAGTGTAGAAAGTGTTTTTTAAAAAAGAGAACTGCTCCTCATCCCATCTCACTCTCCAAAAGATCTGACTCAGGCAGCTTCACTAGAAACAATTCTAGTACACATTCAGAGAAAAAGGGGAACCATTACTCAAACTATTCTAAAACACAGAAAAAGAGAGAATACTCTTAAATTCATTCTATGAAACAAACTTAACCTTGGTATTAAAACCAGGCAAAGACAGGAAAGTAAAACTATGATATCATGGAAGGAAACAATATAGGAAATATTCCTTAAGCATATAGGTACAACATTTCTCAACAAAAATCCTATCCAGAAAATCCAACACTGTATCAGAAAATATAATTATAATATCATAGTAAGATTCATATTAGGGGTGCAAGGATAGTTCAACATTACTGCAGCCTCCATGGGTGTTGATTATGGATCTAAGTAAAATGAAATCCTTAATAATTTCAAACTGTTCTCCAATGATCAGGATGTTATTTATTGATCCAGTTATGGAAACTTGTGTTTTCTTTTTGTTGAAGGATAGGCTATACTGAAGCCTGTAGTCTTTGGTCTCCTCAGTAGTGCTGGAAGTTGTTTCTATTTTCAGCAGGCACAATGACATTATCTGCAGGTTGTTGCTGCCTTCTTCTTCACACAGGCCAGCTTCCGGGCTATTTGCTCAGTAAACGGTTGAATAAGTATAGTGAAAGGATTCAAACCCGATGCACATCTTTGCTGATAAACTACGGAGTATCCCCCTGCTCTGTTCTCTTCTGCTGGTCCGTGCACAGGTTCCACACGAGCATAGACTGTTTTGTCATTTCTTGTGTTCACAACATTATTCCTAATCATTAGCCATCAGAGAGACACTAATCCAAACGACAGTTAGAATTCTTCACCACCCTGGAAATAATAGCAATGATGAAAGACCAACAGAAAATAACAATTCTGGGGAGAATGTGGTGATACTGGAACTCTTACACACTTCTAGTGTGTAAAATGAAACAAGCACTGGGGATAAGGAGATGAGGTTTCTTGAAAACGGTAGAAATAAAAATGCCAAATGACACAATAATCCCACTAATAGGCATATATCCCACCGAAATAGAGCTGTAGCATGAATAGGCACACTCATATTCATCATAGCATTACTCACAATAGTAAAAAGTATAGAAATCACTTAGATACCCTTAAATCAGCGGTTCTCAACCTCTGGGTCATGACCCCTTTGGGGGTCGAATGACCCTTTCACAGGGGTCGCCCAATTCATAATAGTAGCAAAGTTACAGTTATGAAGTAGCAACGAAAATAATTTTATGGTCGGGGAACTGTTCCACAACAAGAGGAGCTGTATTAAAGGGTCGCAGCATGAGGAAGGTGAGAACCACTGCTGTAAGTTAACAGATGGATGAAAAATATCATGGGACAATGGAAACCACACAATATTAAAGAATAACAAAGAATTCATAAACATCTCACAACATGGCTGAACTTAGAGGATATTACATACAGTGAATGTAATAATTCCATACCAAAAGGACGAAAAGGTATGAGACCACTTTAATAAAAAGTTTATACAGAAAAAGAAACAATTTTGTTTGTTACAAGGAGTATGAGGAGGGGAAGGAGGAATAAATAACGTGATAGAGGACATCTATCAACTTGGATGAAGAGAAAGGCAGTACACAAGGGAGAGTTCAGCACCACATAGTGAGGTCGAAGGGGACACTGGGAGGAACGTTAGTGTGAAAGGTAATAGCAGTAAATATTATTACATACACAGTACTGCCGCAACAGTAATAACAAACAGTCATTTATGAGTTGCTACATAAGTGGATATGTAAACTGAAGAGTTGTGAGATGGTGCATCAGCATACACCCGTGAGCATAGACAGGTTTATCACAAGGTATTTATACATCCAAGTGTATTTGTATGTGTTGCAAATATATTCAGGTATATAATAGAGGACATAGAGGGCAAAGTTGTGCCTAGTTCGTAACCATAACCAAATACCTAGAAGGACTGGAACACTGTGCTTCAAGGTTAAGGCCATACTTTTGAGGGATATCTAGCATAACACAGTCCCTGAAGACCATGCTCTATATCTGACTTTGGACTAACACAGTGGCTGCAACAAGGGGCTCAAACATAAGAAAATGCATGCAGATGGTGAGGACCGGGTGATGATGCATATGGAGTCACTATGAGTCAAAACCAACTTATTGGCACCTAACAACAATAACACCAATGAAAAGTAAAATAATAATATTAAAACATATTTCAATACAGAATATTAACTTAATAAACTTTCAGCCAATTGATTTTCATTTCTCACACTCTATTGTTATCATGAGTGACCCCAGTGGCATAGTGGTCACCCATTGGGCTGAAACCCCTTGGGAGAAGACGGGGTTTTCTATCCCCATAAACAGTTCCCGTCTTGGAAACCCGCGGGGGCAGTTCTGCTCTGTCCTCAGGGGCTGCGAGTTATTCTTATCACATTAACTATATATTTCCCCCCACAGGGTGACTCTGGAGGACCTCTTGTCACCGCACGTGATCGAAACATCTGGTATCTTATTGGAATAGTGAGCTGGGGAATAGACTGCGGAAAACCGAACAAGCCTGGACTTTATACTAAAGTGACTCGCTACCGGGACTGGATTAAATATAAAACAAGCATCTAATGCAACACTCGTTTGTGGGTACCTAAAACATTGTTTTGTATGTGTTGCCTTGTTTATTATGATTGTCATGTTCAAGATGCAAACATGTGTCCACTGCCACCTCGCCCCTTAAACATGATGAGGGCAAGATTCCTTTCATATTATCTGAAGGGCTTTGCTTGCTGTGAACAAAGGAGATACTGTCAACTCCATAAAGGTCTTGAAATGGAACCAACTGAACTTCTATCCGTAATGTACGTAGAATGATGAAGGGTTCCACTGTTGTTCTAACTGTCTTAAGTTTATTTAAAACTTTTTTAATCCCAGATGTAGACTATATTCTAGAAAATAAAAAAAGTGAGTGCATTAACTAAAAAGATCTGCCACTGCTGATAGGTGTCTCTGGTTATTTTCCTGCTCATCTTTCTGTTCCTACACTCCACTGCTCGTTTTAGCATAATCCAACAGTTTAATGAGTATCAACTGGTTAAGCATTCTCTATATTTTTCCTGACAGAGTCTACAGCTTTACATGGATAACTTTATGGTTTCTGTATTCCTCATCAAATAATCTTTGTTAAAAATTAAAAGATACACTATATGAGACAAACCAAGGTTATTAGTTTCATCCAGTGGTCATGCAAATGACAGTGGACACTAAGCATGAAACTATAACATCAAAGGGACACTACTGAGAGTATTATCCCCTTCCCTTCAGGTGTGCTTTCCACTTGAAACTTGAAAATAGTTGACATTTATATTTATACTCAATTGTTCAGAATTAAGCTTTTAAAACAATGATAGTGATGTTTATTCTAGGGCAATGACTAAATCTCTGTATCAGTCATCAGGAAACCAGATATAGTACTTACCATAAGATTCAGCTCTACACTACATAAAAACGCCTTTTAATATTTAGAAATGAAAGGCAAGATTCCTTGGCCTTTTCATTAAGAGGAAGTGAGAAGAGTCAAGGACCCAGTGGTAAGGAGTTCTTTCAGCATCAGCTTTAAAAATGGGAAAAACTTCATTCTGGTGCATAAGTAAATTGCTTTTCATTTGTTTTGTCATGAGTGAATTTTGAAAGCAATACAACTTGCCATCAAGTTGATTGCAATTCATCTTGAGTGCATCTGTTTCCAGTGGCAGGTATATCTCAAGTACATCCCGGCCTTTCTGTAAGGTGTCTCTGGGTGGATTCAAATCTCCATCCTTTTTGTTGCAATTGATCTTGTTAACCACTTGAACCACCTAGCAACTCCATTGAAAGGAATAGGTTTGTTTTAACACATTTTATTTTCTAAGCAGTTGTTTTCAACAAACCTTAGAACACTGGAGAGATCCAAAGAATGGGAAGCTCATATAAATTATATATTCAAAAACAGCTTAACAATATAAATTAGACATCAATGAACATTTGGTAGAAGAGTCTGATAAACAATTTACATAATTGGTAAAGACATACTGTAAGTAAGTAGATTTATTGTTAATGAATAGCAGGTATTTTTCCATAATAGTGCTTATAGAAAATATGTATACAGCCATGAGAGCATTTTTGTATGGGTTTCCTTTTTTTGTTGTTAGCTGTTGTCATTCTGCACTCAACTTATGGTAAACCCATATCCAACAGAATGAAATGCTGCCCGGTCCACTGCCATCTTCCTGACGGGGGACAATCATACCATTTCCATTAACAGGATTTTCACAGGTTGGTTTTGAGAAGCAGGTCACCAAGCTTTCTTTCTAACACAGCTCAATCTAACAGCTCTGATGAACCCTGTGTAACCGCTTGGCATCAGGAAATTCAGTGACCCGGGTGTGATGGCTATGGATGAGGCTCACTGTCTTAGAATTGACCCCAGGTCTCCCCACCCCCCAAAAAACATTAATTCTACCACTGAATTCCACAAATGTCCTCATATTTGGAATGGCATAATTATTATGATAAAATGGTCATTTTAACCTGTATTTAAATGTATATTTTGTGGAACTTACATTGACTGTGGACTACCAATCAACAAGGGTCAAATTTGTTCTGTCTGATTCTATGGATATTAGCCTTTATTTGCTTCACCCCTTCCCATTTAGTTAATGAAATAACCATGGCATTAAGGTATTGTTTCATATTTAATATCAAGTTCTTCCTTGCCCCATATATTATATACATTAAAATATACTTATGCTAATAAATCCAAACTCATTCTTATGAATCATCACATAATACAGAATTTCTCATCCTTGGCACTGTGGACATTTTGGTACAGGAATTACTTGCTGTACAGGGGTCTTTCAAATTCAGTAGAACCTCAGACCTCAGTGCTACCCATTCTGGAAGGAGCGTCGAGATGCAATGCATTTGAGTTCCGAATCAATTTTTCCCATAAGAAATAACTGAAAATGGATTAATCCGTCCTAGACTACCAAGTTTTTACCCTAACCTTGGCTTTTCCACAGAAATTTCAAAGACTTAAGTTCAGAGTTAAATAATATAATTTAAATTAGAAACATGGTGTTTTAAAAGTTTTTAACTATAGAATGGCCCATACCTTGAGATGGATCAGGATCTGGATCTGTGGACAGGGATGTGGAGAGGAGGGATGGAGAGAGAGTCATTGTTTGGAAAGGGAATCCCCTTCCATAAAATCAACTGGTAGCTGCTTTTCAGGAGTTTTTCCCTTCTTTGCCTTGTTTCACTAGGACCTCCCCGGCTCTCTCTAAAAACTGTCTAATGTGGTCTGCTTTTCGCAGATCCTTAGCTGCTTTCTAAAGGGTTTACTAAATTATCACCAACACTATCGATGACACAGTTAACCAGTTTCTTATGATGATTCTTTTCAAAAAGTCTTTCTTGGGACCCAGGTTTTTTTTTTATCTAAAAACACTACGAAAAGCCACACAAATAAGAAAAGTATAGCAAAGCGCTTGGAACACAGCCACAAAAGGTTTAAACAATGCATAGTAACAATGCCAACTAACGCCAAGTTTCCAAAACACGAACTGCTTTGTTTACAGAACGCATGTGCATCGGGTTGGATTCCGATGTTTTATTTGAGCTCCCAATGCCAAATTTTCTTGACATTTCGCACCAAAATCCAATTATGTCAATTACTGATGCGGTTGCGTACCGGGGTTCTACTGTATATTGTAGAACATTTAGCAACATTGCCTTTCCTCGACATATTGAATGCCAAATTAGACAACTGGAATCATCTGTTGCCATTGCCAAATATCCCTGGTGTGGGCATGTGAGGCGAAATCACCACAACTGAGAACCACTGCAATGGGATCAATAGTTGCAGGGGGGAAACCACTCACTGTTAAAAATTAATCGATCCGTCATTTTTCTTACATGCGTTTGAAAATACCTTTCTTCTCATTTTTATAATGCTGATTTACCAAAAATATTATCTATTAGGACCACATTTATAACTACACAATGCTAATCAAAGTAAGATCTTTGAGGACTGGTTTCAGTTGGGAGGAGGAGAGGGTTTGAAGACAAAGCTACCATGGGCAAACAATTCATACACACTCACTCACACATACACACAAATGAGTTATTGTTCAAGTACCTAAATCCTAAATAATTGTACCACATATATTTTAATTAATATCCTTCGAATACATTACATATATTACCTTAGGAGGGGGTTCTATATTTGGTTGAGGCAGAATAGCCCAATCCCTCTCCCACTAACACTACAGAGGTCTTGTTAGCAGCTGTCAAGTGAATTCGACTCAGCAACCGTACGTACCACAGAACAAAACACCACCCATGGCTGCCCCGCCGTCCTTACCCTGATTCCCACCCCTATGTCAATCCACCTTGTTGAAGGGCTTTTCTTTATCAGTGACCCTCGCCTATCCCACGCATGACTTCCTGTCCCAGGGATTGATTTCTCCTGATAACACACCCAAAGCATGTGAGACAAAATCTCCTATCATGGAATATAGAAAATTGGATAGCATCGCTAATCACTAAAAGCTACCCATTCGATTTGGCAGACTTTAGCCAGACAAAGCTACTTAGATTTATGCTAATTAAAATTAAATTTCCTTTTCTCAATCATAATAGCCAAACTGGAAGTATAAAATAGGCAGATATGGCCTGTGAATTCTGGGCAAGCAACACAGATGTAGAACAAACATTTCTACTGGACGTCTACTGGACATCATTGACCAGGGCTTTTTACGTAGTCTCTCACATGGTCACTTATTCATCTAACAAACATTTCTCAACCCTCTGCTATAGTTTTTGCATGATTCTAGATGTTGGGAGACAGACACAAATAAAATCAAGTCCTATTCTGAACTCACATAAAGAAATACAGTGTTCTAATGGCTGCCCCTGAAAATAGTGTCACTAGGCTTCAGAACTGACACGAGGACAATGGATGGTTCTGCTTTGTTTGCAGGATCTTGGAGGAGTATGCCTAGCAAGGCACAGCAGAGCTGGTTTTCGACTAGGTGGCACTGGTTCCACCAGTGAAATTGGACATCTCTGAATGAGTTATAGCAGGCCACCAGAGAGCCGAGAAACTAGTCAACCTTTCTTAAAACAAGATCTGTTCACCCTTCTTCTGCCTCTTAGAAATTCCTCTCAGCTAGATTGCTGTTACTAAAACACCACCACAATCTCTATATCCTCCTTATTGTTGATTTTAATTCCCTAAGTGTTACCCTAAGTGTTGTTTGCTCACTGCTCCTCTCCGCCCCACCTCCACCTCCCCACCAAGTCCCTCCAAAACTGTTGGTCTCCTCGCTTTCTCCTTGGGTTTGCTTCCCATGCCTATCTTATGTAGGTAAGCAAAACAACAATGACAGAGACAAACAAAAGATTGAAAAAAAACATACATATTTCCAGGTCTGTCTGCTGACCTTTTTGACTATCCCCTCATTGGTCCTGAGAGGGTTCCGGGAACTGCACCTCCTAGACTGAAGTCTATTTTGGGGGCATCTCAGGGGGGTTTGTGGCTTGGCTTTGCTCCCATTGCTGATCTGTTATGTTTACTTTCTGGTTCA